ATATATATATATATATATATATATATATAATATACCGTATATATATATATATAAAACATTACTGCAAGATGGTTTAGAGCGAATGTCTTTACTCATCTATTATATAGATACATATTAATAACAATGCTCGAATATGCAGGCCTACAAGTCATAAGATGCACTTGCCAAGTATTATAGAGTACTGTACATTCTAAAGGTTTTAGAAATGCCTGCTCGTGACTCTGCCACGACTGTTCCAGTCAATTAACAGCTACTATAATTCGCTAAAAAGGAAGCTACATTAAACAAAAACTGTGTAGCTCTTGTGATTCATACGACGAACGAACTAACGAACGAGAAACGCCTGGTAAAATTTAATCATGCTTGTACAATTGGAGCATGAGACATAAATTTGAATAAATGTCCAAGACTCCATAACACAACCTTCGAGATGGTCTCTGCATCGTCAGAGCCATAAAACTCTTTAGAGAAACATTAATATCAGTTATGTGACACTGTATACACTTAAAAATTGCCTTTCATTAAATTTCTCATTGATTAGCAAGCCTGAAGATTTGAAAACCCTTTAATTGATACAATGGCATTTAATATTTCTGGAATCTCCCGAACAATGGTTTACACATTATTAATTCATGTGACATAGGGGCCTACTTATTAAACTTTATAGCTTTATACATATTTCTTACTAATATCACATTATTATTCCTATGAATTTCATATTACCTAAAGCAAAGCCATTGTCAATTACAGCAGCCTCGGTAATCCGTCAATTACAGAACGCCTATTGATCATCGGCACTGCATCGTTTTACTCTGCTCATTTATTATCAATACCTACACCCACAGTAAAAGAGTAGGAAATGTAGCTTAGCGCATTAACTCACTTAACGCTATGATGATAGACTTTAGCTAAAAAAAGAAGAATGGTATGTTTTAATGCTATGATGATAGGCTTTGGATATAAGAATTGGTATGTCTACCCACAGAGGAATAACTTTCTATAATACCTTGTATTTGGATGGCAGTAGTAGAGTTCATTAACTGAATACATCGCTGGGTCCTTCACTTCGTTTTGGGCTTGGGCCATAACTTACTTTCCTTGAAAAAATAATGTGTAGGCCTAATTTTACAATTATTACGGTATTTATTGCAACTTCCAATCTCAAAATTATACCGGTATTCAATATGCCTATAGTGCAAGTGCATATAGGCCTACGTACTCAATACCAAGGTACTTGAAACAGCTAACTGACGATGTAATTCAGCCATACCAATGGAGTCAAACTTAGCAAGTGACCAATCCGAACAGGGTGTTTATATATTCAGTCATCTGAGGGCCGATTTCACTAGGAATTTTGACCCAGGGGACCATACGGTAATGTTTGATACGGTTTATAACATCATGGTCGTATAATACATTTAAATCTGAAAACTCATCTCTTTAACAGCACTGTATTATTATTATTATTATTATTATTATTATTATTATTATTATTATTATTATTATTATTATTATTATTTTTATTATTATTATTATTATTATTATTATTATTATTATTATTATTATTATTATTATTATAAAAAACTAATATTTTGATTGATTTTATACACAGTGTCCTCATTCCCATTGCTAAGCACTGTATTTAGACGGATATATATGGTACTGCGCGTATGAATGTATTGACGTAAATATTAAGAGTCCTCTACACTTTATTATTGTTTTCTGGTTATATAATAAAAGCATGTATATAGGGGCCTATATAAATTTCTTTTAAAAAAAACCATAAAAACGATTGTTTTCACAATTGAATAAAAACTAAAAGAGGTAGAACCGTCAATGCTATACAAGATAATGCAGTAAACAATCAAGAGACAAAATGTCAATAGGTAAAGATGTCATTCAATAGAGGCATCCAAAACACTAATTAATTTCAGAACTGCCGCCATCTTGGGTAGTTTTTTTTTGTTTTTTTTTTTTATTTCAACCATCTTTAAAGAGGGTAACCCTTCCACCCAGTAGGTCAACTGATACTCAGGGGCTCTCTTTAATAAAATTAAAGAACAGTACAAACAACATCATTACAACATAATAATAATAATAATAATAATAATAATAATAATAATAATAATAATAATAATAATAATAATAATAATAATAATAATAACAATAATAATAATAATAATAATTATTATTATTATTATTATATTATATTTTTTTCTTTAAATCCATAATACTTATATGTAATGTAAATACTTTACTTATATGTAATGTAAATGAAAGAGGGGCTAATCGGGATAGGGCTGATTTCTTAGAAGTATAGCGGTAGTGGGCTAGATGCACTTGGCAGATACAGATGTATTGCTACAACGAACTAGCCGGTGAGATATCTGCTTACGTCCACTTGTGAAAGCAACCCTATCCCAACCTCAGTTGATTAATCCATCTAAGCAGTGAGACAGCGGTATATGTCTACAGTACCTTATGGTAATTTGTCTTTATAGGATGGCTAGTATTATTAATAATATATAAGACAATTAAATTGCATTTGCATCATATCATCATATACATAAATATCTATCAATATATTTTACAAAATCTCATCTTAATTTACATCAACTATAACTTTAAAATAAAAAAATTAATCGATCAATTTTCATATATTTTCATTTCACCAATCAAACTTTATCTTAAACACTAAAAGCCACTCAAGTGATTGTTGATTGAACCAAACGATCTATGGTTTAATATAATATATTCGCTTACAAACAAATTAAGCTATTTTACATATAACCTCACTCACACTCTCTTTCATGTGATTTTAACGCCATTGTTCATCCAAAATCACGTAGTAACGAGGGCGCTCTTCGCAACCATCTTTTGAAAACGTGGGTCACGTATTTTCAACTCAGATCAAGTGTCAAATATTTTTCTATTTAATCTCTTGCACGTTCCCGTTGTATTCCAGTAGGGAACTTTCGATTGCACGACGACGGTAGGACGTGGAACGTAATGACGTCAGTAAAATTCATCTGCGCATGTGAGAACGTTAGTGTCACCTCGTTGAGTTTATTCTAGAACGCAATTTGGCCAAATCTACGTATGCAGAGAACGTAGGACGCCAGGTAGGACGGTCACGCATGACTGATTCCGTTCTAACGTCGCGTCGTCACACAAATCGAAAGCTCCCTCATATCATTTTATATGTTTGTTTGCCTGGGTTTTGTCCTCTCTATTTAAGGAATGTTTCTAAAGAGTATGTTTTTCTTTTTACTACATTAGTGATTTTCTTGTCCCCGTAATTGTACATCTGAAAGGAATAGGCGAGTTTTGGATAAATCATCGTATTTTATCGATACATTAATGTATGGACATGGCTCATCATTCTCTATCGCTGCACTTATTGTGTAGTTTCATTATTGTCATATGACATTATGTCGATTACGTGTGCACGAGTGGGTTAGCGAGTGGTGCAGCGTGTAAAGCCGGGAACTCACTGCGTGGTACGACGACGCCACGCCGTCTGTTAATTGTCGGTAGCAGTCTAAAACTTTTCGTCATTAAAAACAATCCGTTGCGCGTACGTCGTGGCCTTGCGTTCTTCAAAGAATCGTGTTGTCGACGACCGTTGGTCTGAGTAAGTGCTTTTGACTTTCAATTGGAAGGTCGGTGGTTCGAGACCGATGCTCAGTCGTAATTGTTTGTACTTTATCTGCATTTGCCTCTCTTCAATCAGCAGTAAAAAACAATGATTCGGGAATGTTGATTATACCCGCAACTTGGAATACCGTACAGTACTCTCCGGAGAGTGGAGAATGTTCCACATTGTGTATGATCTGCATCCAATGACAGGGGAAAAAGCGCCTTTAGCAGTTTTCTGGATATGTGCACTAAATTTTATAGAATAATAATCGGTAGCCCGTCAATCGAGGCCTATGATGATTGATGCGGGCTCATCAAAATCACCAAGCGTGGGACTAAATTTAAGCTCATTGTATCACGTTCTCTGAAAGAATGACCCATGAACGTTATTGTATTCGGAATCGTATTATAGTATTATAGATTTAAGGGAAATTAAAGGTGAAAGTCCATCTATCAACATGACATGACAGCTACCATAGGCGATTGTAGAAGCCGACAGATGCAGGTACGGATCATCAATAGGAAATTTTCGAAATAGCAACGTATGACGTACATGCCGCATGCAAATTAGCTAACTTTTTTACGCTTTCATTGGCACGCCGAATCAGTTGGTTTCATGTCTTTATGAGCATGGCGTAAAAACATTTATCTGTGCATAATTACGCATGCAAACTTCAAAATATGCGGAGACAAGTCGGTAAATTATTGTAAAGTATAACGTTGGCATTCTGATTTTCAACTCTCACAAATTCAGGATAATATGTGCAGTCAATTGGAAGGTACGGTACTGTATAAAATACTGTTGAGTGGCGCCTTTACCAACCCAAAACTCGTATGTTCAATCGCTTCCTACTTACAACGTGCACACCCAATAGTTGAAGTATTTAAGACAAAACCCAGAAAAAGCAATATTAACCGCGTGGGATTCGAACCGATGGTTCTGCTCATCTAGAGAATGATGACCCAAACCACAGCCACTGTTCCAACCACTCGCCTTACAAAACTATTCTACTCCCTGAAATCTATGACAGACTTTCCGTTACGTTCTATTTGTGGTTCTAGAAGTTGTAGAATTGATTCTGGATAATTTTATTTTCCCCCATCGACAGAAAAATATGTCAATAAATCCCTGCCTGATTTTCTTGGTGAAAAAGCAAAACATTGCGGGATTAACGCATGTATTTGTGTAGCACATAATATTTGCAATTCCGTTAAAGTATAGTGCAGTATTCTGTGTGACGACCTCAAACTGCACGAGGATACGGTAAATCATGCTCGGTAAGTACATAAAACCGAAAACTACTGCAATGCAGATAAATGACTTTGCTAGACGACATCGCCTCGTGATGATTGTAGTAACGTTTGTGGAGTGTTTGTCCATCTCACATAATTCCCGTGACGCTTTGCGTAAATAATGCGACATGCTGCCGTAGCAGAACCCGATTATTGTCAATGGTACAAGGTACGCTAGTACTATAAACAGAATTTCGTGCGATATCGCAACGGCTGTATAATGCGGTAAATATTGGCATTGGTGCGTGTCTGATTCAATATCTTCGTTGTTCTTCGCCAAAATATACTGCGGTATGCTCAGTAATATCGAGAAAATCCAAATGACACCAGACGTGATTACAATGTGTCTGAATGTTTGTGGGCGTCGGGAGAGTTTGCCAAACGGTCGGACAATTCCCTGGTAACGCGTAACAGCAAGGGACGCAAGGGTATAGCTTGAACAAGTAAGCGCTAATATATAAGTCCCACTACTGAATTTACAAAAGAATTCTGTATGGTCTCGAGTCTGTCCAACGTTCGTGTAGAAGAGCACAATGTAAACAGATCTACAAAGGACCATGAGCAAGTCTGCAATTGTAATGTTTGCGACCAGTACCATGGATGGCTTCTTTCGGATATCCACTATGAACACAATGATGAACAACAACAGAAGGTTCGCAACGGTAGCAATTGTGCCAACACAAGTCGTGGTGATAAGTCTCCAGTAGTTCGTAACTTCCTGAAAATATATCGTGCCGTTGAAGTTAGCCTTCACCCACTCATAATCATATACGCCTCCTTCCTCAATAACAGACATACCTAAATCTTCGGTTGAGGATCTACAAACAAAAATCAATACACATCATTATCTAGCTATCAGTGACATAATTTAATTTGTTTTCTTACGATCTGCATTTAATGCTTCCTCTGCGTGGGGCACAGAGAAATAGTTAGGTTTGTAAGTTGAGGGAAGTGTTCCTGATAGGTTAAACCCATAGAGATATAATAATAAAACCTAAGACTAGGAGGCATTTGATTAGCTCCCTCTGTCAATACACTACACACGAAATTAAATTAATCCGTCAAGAAATACTGTGGGACACAGAAACTCAGATTTTTGAAATTCTGAGAATTTAAGGCAAAAACTGAGCTCCGAAATCTGTAATATGGGATTCTCCTCAGGGAGCTGTGTATGTGTCCCACTGATGTAATAACCTGTATAATAAGACCTGGTTGGCATTTTAGGTTGTCGCCACATTTTCACTCTCATCAATGAAATTAATTATAATTTGTCACATTATTTCCTTTCGTCTACTAAAATTGATTTCAATTTGGCGACCTATTAATATTTCTCCTCCCATATATGAACATAGAATTCCATTTGTTGTCGTATAATATTTCCTCCCATTTTTTTTTTGTCGACATTACCTCCTAACTTCTGTAAGATCGACTTAGTTCCGCTCCCTTCTACTAACATTGATTTAATGTCAATACGTTTTTCGTGTTTCTTTTTTTCTTCTCCCATACCATAACAGTCAACATAGTAAACAAATCATTATAGAAAATAAATGAACCAAAAAATGAAAATTTCTAAAGCAATTGCTTAAAAAAAAAATGAAAAGCCCAAATTGTCACAAATACAAATCAAACATATTGTTTGAAACATATTTGTGTAAAGGCGTTAAGTAGTAGTAATACTCATAAATATTATATAAAATAAGTACACATAAGTAATTCTGGAAAAAATAAGTATCAAAATTAAACATTTTTTGAAAATATAAAAGATGATTTATTATATTTTGTTTGTTATCAATATTTCTTAGAATTACAAAAGTTAATCAATAAATAAAAGAACATTCTATCTCAACAATTGTTTCAAGTCAATAAAAAAAATCAATTACATTACAATTTATTTATCATGTGTTTTCAATTTCCATATAATCTAGCAAAAAAAAACAAAAAAAAAACACGATTTTGTGTTATACAAGAATAATCAGATTAGAAATTATTTACCATGTCTTTTTAATGTCCATTATAATCTAGTAAAAGAATCACATACAAATTTAAACTAAAATAAAATAAAATATCAATATAAGTACATACATTTATAAATTTGGGGTTTTTTTTCAATTGTTATATATTCTAGTCAATAAAGAACCAAAATTGTCAAATAAATATTTTTTGTAAGTAATACAGATCAATATTATCAATGACGACGTTATTTCCACATACTGGTACGCCTAAGGTTTTTTATTTATAAACCAAATCTTCAATTACGAAAACCGTATATTTCTGAGACAATACAATATACGAATTGAACACATTTACTAACAAGGAATATTAATTTCGGATTATCGATATAACCCCCACCCACTCCTCTCTTCCTACTAACATTTATTTTAATTTCACTCCCATCTACTGTACTAACATGGTAGTTGCTGCAGGTATAACTTTGTTCATCCAAAAATTAAATTTAAAAGGAGCTCGTTGCAATCACAAAATATATGAGAGAGCAGCTTAGCTAAGTCGGCTAATCTGATGGTAGCCACTGTGTGTGCACTGAACCGTGGAGATCTCTAGGTCCCCGGTTCAAATCACATCACCGCCTCTCCTTGTATTTCAGCTAGAGGGAGAGCAGCCGGTAGTCTATTGTAAAATAGTACGGTCGACTAATTCATAATAGAGGGGTTGACTTTAGTCCAACGACTGCTGACTTAACATTAATTTGTCGTCATCATTTTCCGTCTACAAACATTGAATTTGAAAAATCACCGTTTCACATCCCTGTCTAAATGGATATATGAATATCGCTGTATTTCCTTTCCCCTCTGTAAAATTGGTTTCAATTTGTCAACCTATTTCTTCTACCAATATTATTTCAAATTGTCAAAACATTTCCCCTTCTGTCTACTGAAACAATGATTTCAATCAGTCATTATTTCCTCTTCCGTCTACCACCACCAAATTTAATGTAGCAATATTTCCCTCTCCTTTCTAAATAGATTCTTTTTACTTTGTCAAAATATGTCCCTTCCTCTGTATATAACTATCGATTTTAATGTGTCACCATGGCTATCTCCTGACTACAATCAAGCATTAATGTTCTATACAAGAATTCCCATATGAATTTGTTTTCAATTAAGTGGACCGAGAATTAAAAAAAAACTATCAGGATAAAATATCTTTTTACACTATAATAATAATAATAATAATAATAATAATAATAATAATAATAATTATAATAATAATAATAATATTAATAATAATAATAATTATAATAATAATAACAATAATAATAAAAATAATAATAATAATAATAATAATAATAATAATAATAATAAATGATAGGCCTAATAATGATGATGATGTTGCCGAGAATCATATAGTAATGATGATGATGACAAAGAAGATAGTGATAATGAGGATGATGATGATGATGACGATGTAATGTAATAGCCAGGCGTTTGTACCGCGCCTTTTCCTTTAGATTAGACCTAAAAGGTGCATATCCAGAAAAGGAAAGCATGATGATGATGACGACGATGATGATAATTATGATGATTGTAGTGGTATTGATGTTGACGATGTTGTGATTATCATAATGATCATGGTTATTATGGTTGAGAGCCCCAATCTATGCCAACTATTTACTTTACCAAGGAGCACAGCTACAGAGGTATTCCATAGTTGTCTAGTTTTCCAGTAAAAAAATAGTAGAAACAATTAATTCGGTGTACAACACACCGAATTTCCACGCGGAACTGAAAGCTCTCCGGATTTTTTCATCAAATACAGCAGGGGTTTTTTTTTAGGGCCAATAGAGGTGGTTTTCATTCCCCGTCGTCGCAAAGTGGGAGTTATTTTGAATCAAGATTGTTATTACAATAGGCCTACTATATAATTTGCATGTAGGCCTATAATTATTTATTCAAACTCTATTTCAGATACAAAACGATTTTTTTTTTCTCTATAAATTCCTTACATCCATTTTCATAACACAAGTAATAACAATAGCTTACTAGAAAGCATTTATATATCAAGGTTTTATTAAAGAAACGTATTTTCTATTAGCCCTCTTATATATACATCATATTTAATATTTGAAAATAATAACATTGTGTCTTCCTTGCCGACCTTATTTTGAAGACGAATTAATAATTGCAAACACGATACAATTGTCAGGAGTTCACCACTTAGCAAAACGTGCTCAATCACAGTCAACCTGCATTTGCCATTGCACTTTGTCAGTTGGCTTGGTTTTGTAACTGAATGCAAAGATTTATTACTAAATATTTTGGGGTATATAAAATAGTGCACAAATGTCAGTGATGACATTTAACTGCCTTTAACAAACCCTGGATAGTCAAGCACGCGACCTTTTATTAAAGAACTGTATATAATTCTCCCTGCCATGGAATTTGCTTTCTATATGGAGACTTCCCAAGCAAGCGTAAAATAATCACTTGCAAGTTTTTTAAACGTACTCAGATCATTCAGTATGATTACACGTCAGGTACGGCCGGCGAGACATTTTTCCTGACGCAAACACCATCGAAATAGCATTGCAGTATTAAGTGCTACTTGGGATCGAATTCAACACCTGCCACAGTGCAAGCTCGGTGGTCTAGTGGTATTTTTTTTTCTGGAGGTCGTATAGGTTCGATTCCCAACTGAATCACTTGCGAATATATGAGAACGTACTTTCAGTACGATTACACCTCATCGGGTAGAGCAACAAACCATTTTTATACGTGTGATATTTCACCCCACCCCACCTACTTTGAAGCATCATTCCTCCCTTATTCTCTAACACTAGCATATTCCCTGTATTGACCCTTCTGCACTAACTGCACAAACTCTGTACTTGTTTGATTAAACGAGATATTGCATTCGTTTAATTTCCTGTATATAATGACTTTTTAACTACTTGATAACAATATAAAATCAACATCATCAGCGCATGGGCATTCCAGCTCGTATTTTAGCGGCGGATTCAAGAGGGCACAACCTCCCCCGTATTTTCATTTTTTTTTCAAAGCTATAAAAACAGTAGACATTTACTACCAGTATATAACTTCAACACAAAATTTATTGACAAAAAAGATCGACGTTTCTTGTCCATGATGAAAATGCGCCCATGATGGACACGAAACGTCGATCTTTCTTGTCAATGAATTTTGTGTTAAATTTATAAAACAGTGGAGAAAAATAGAAAATTGTAATGAAAGTTAAATCTTAGATTTAACTTTCATTACAATTTTCTATTTTTTTGGGAATGCCCATGCGCTGATGATGTTGATTTTATATTGTTATCAAGTAGTTAAAAAGTCATTATATACAGGAAATTAAACGAATGCAATATCTCGTTTAATCAAACAAGTACAGAGTTTGTGCAGTTAGAAGAAAAAAAAACAAAAACAAAACAAAACAAAACAAAAAACAAAAAAATACAACACGACGATGATACTTAACGTTCATATATTCTTGGTTCCTTATTACCAAGTCTTGGTAATCTTTACCAGCCTTGCTGAGGCTGGTAAAGCTTCCGAGATGTAACATGGATGGATCTGCGCATGCGCAGGGATTTCAACACAACAACAATCTACTGTTTCACACGGGGTTCTTTGAATTTTCTTCCTTCTGCATACGATTCTGATCCACTAGAAATAGATAGGCCTAGTTTTCTCAATGATGAATGAATTACCCTTGTTATTGATGTTAATTAGTAATGGTAGAAGAAGAAGATATACATAAAATGAACGTCGGGATGGTGTTAGTACTATTACTAGTATTACAAGAGTCGACAGAAACGTTGGAAGTTATGCCTAGTTTATTAGTAGTAGTACAGCAGTTGTTAAGGGTATTGATTGCTTCGAATGTTTACTGTGATGGTGAGTTCAATATGTTCAATATGTGACAGGGGTTCTCAACTAGGCCTAGGCTAGACCTATATCGCAGTAGGGGAAAAATGGTTCATTGAATAAACACTGAATAAATTTTACACAACCTTGGCATTACCTTACAGACGCGTGTGAATGCTTTTTATATCGGTAGGAATAACTCGGGAGACCGCTCGGTTACAATTTGTTACTTTTTGTTAAATTTAACTTCACGTGTGAGTGCATTTCCGGGCAATCTAGAAGTACAATAGTCATAAATTGTCTTACCTTAGCCCCAGTGACAGTGGCGTATCCAGAATTCTTGAAATGGGGGTGTTGATAAGGTGGAGTGGGGGAGGGGGGCTCGATGATCAGTTGAGGGGCGCTAATTCGCAAAGTAAGGTGATTTTTAACTACTTGACCGTGAATTTTGCTGGGCTACTGGGGGGGGGGGTGTGAATAATTTTTGGGTTCCCCCCCCCACGAGCACCCCCTAGATACGCCACTGCCCAACCATCGTGTGGGCTGAGGTGGTATTGATCCTCTATCTGTGAAAGTTCTCCCTGTGTGCCCTCTATTTCAAATTCCTGGATCCGCCACCGTGAAATAGGTGGAGGCTTTGACAGAGTTTCCTCACAACGCGTAACCTTGTAATTAGGCCTAGACCTATCCAATTATGGTTTCAAAATTTGTTGAAAAACATTTATTAACACATAAACGTAACATATTACTAGAAAGTAAAAAGCTAACTAAACGTATATCATCGCAAGTACAAACAGCATCTTTCAAGTGAATTCCATATAGTTGATCCTAATATATCAAACTCATAAATCTTTCCATTTTATTTATGCTGTTTGCCACAGTCTTATATCCTTCAATACGCTTCAGTGTGGTGAATGACATTATTGTCTTTGGTGAATAACTTTGCGTGTTTGATAGAAGATTTTGTATGGCACCATCGATGATATTGCTCTTTAAGCCTGACGTATGTTTTAATGTATTTTCTATCTAAATGGGGTTCACTACAGTAGTAAAGTCGAATCAAGGACATCTTAAGGAGTGCATCAAAATGTTTTTTTTTTTATTGCTGCTCCTCCCCTGTAATTAACTGCTCCTTTCACATTGTGCATCATCTCATGAAACTGCACGAATGAATTCGTGACACTTTATTTACGTCTCTCTTCACACAAGAGTATAAGTTTGGCTCCTAGTAGGAGGTGAGTGATTTATAGTACTAAGATATTGTAAAAATACTCTACAGAGAGCAGAATAGGTTGTAAGGACACATACATTGTGCATGATTGATGTCCAGAAAAAGGCACTTTGTGACCTAATAAAACGAAAAGAACCAAAAGTGTTGTTACTGTTCAATATAATCCATGTCTTACTGTTTTACGGTATTGTTTTATATTATTATTGATATTGTTGTTGATGTCGTCATTGTCAATGGTATTGTAATTGTCATTTCGATTGTTACGCCTATTGTTATAGTTGCTGTTACTGTTATTGTTATTTTGTTGGTATTTTGATGGCAACGAAACATATACTTCTCAATATCATGGTAAACAGTTTTTTTTTGAGCCGCAAAACATACCGATCTCAATTATTGTCAGGTTTAGAGGGCGCTATTAGAAAATATAGCCTAGAGTTCCTATAGCATTTTCCAAGTAACAGTGCTTAATAAATTAAAGTAAATAAAACAAAATGTTATCATCTAGCGTAGGCCTATGCCCTTATACTATAACTGGTATGGGCTTCATTAATATTTCAATAACGACTTACAGCAAGGTTGGATTTTCGACACAACCCGCAAACATACCGGTCTACAACAAATTGGTAACGGCTCGGGGATGGGGTGAATTTGGAGATAAATGATGACGTCACGAATTTCACTTAAAAAAACAAATGATCGCTCAGAGATAGGAAAGTTACGTGGAAAGTTAATTGATGACATATTGCGACTTATAGACCTAAATGATAATCATAATAATTATTATTAGCCCTATTATTATCAACATTATCATCCTCATTATCATCTTCTATTTCTTTTATTTCATAGAAAAAAATTCAAGTTTAAGTAGCCTGGTTGTTTTTTGTTTAAACGATTTTCATGACTTCAGATTTCAAACCTTCCGGGATTCGTGACCTATTCGCGAGTCTTAAGGCATTATATAAAGTAGAAATTGAATAAGACTACTTACCAACTTTAATGCTTTTTTATGAAAAGTAATCGATGTAAAAGATGTTGGTTATAATATTGATCCAAATTTAGAGAACATATGTAAAAGGAACCTCAAGGCTTACTTCTTTCACTACAGTATTCTGAATTTCTTGCTGGCTATAAGTTTAAGCAATCCGACTATACAGGTGTCCATATACCTGTGAAAAACTTCCAATGGTCTTGAAGCGTACTCATGAAGTTGCTAAGAAAAATAAGACTATCTTCTTACCCTTGTGTTTTCTGGTTAGGCGTTAGTTAACACATAGACCTACTACATGTGATAGCAATTGTTTTGTCTCTATTTTCCAGTCCTCTCTTTCCAATCATTAGCAGGATCATCCATTTATCTGCAGAGAAACCGCGTAGGATGTTAACCAATCATGATGAATATTTATATTAATGAATTTTACTTGCTGGAGATATCATTGCCTAAACCACGCCTCTATCTTAAGTTACATAAGCACTTCACTGTCGTTTCAAATCGCCTGTTGAGTAGAAATGGGGTTTACACTGAATCTGAACGTTTAGTTCCAGCTTTTCAAACAATGTCACCACATACACTTTGCTGCGATATCATTTTTTAGACCACGCCCCCATCCTCAGTACATAGCACTTATAAATATTAATACTCGTCTGTTGAGGGAATGGATGGTGGAGACTGAATCCAGAGGCTGAAATCCAGCATTTGATAAAGCGTCACCACACTTCTAAAGGTGTCTGTAAGATGTTATTGACAAGATGATGTTGAAAAAAGCCAAACTTATTCGGAAATAGATTAAATTATTATTATTATTATTATAGGACCTATATAAGTAATTTATTGAGCACAATATTTAACGTCCACAATACTAATAGTCTTATCCTAGTTGCTAAAGATATCTTAGTTTCAATATATAGTACCTTTTTATATATTTTCAATTAAATTACTGTTTGGCTCGCCATAAAATAGTACAGATGAAACTTAAGTAGCGGTACAAGGTCAAAAGACTAGGTAGTATTATACAATGGATAATATGTAGAAAATGAAAATGCCATGACAGAAAATCAAATGTGCTATAAATATCTACATCTAAAAATCATAGAAATAAATATCTACTCTAATAATAAGTAATAAAATAATAATGACGAGGTATGACTGAAATATAGAGAGTTATAAAAACTTAATTTAATAAGAACAGTAATGTTATCTACGTTGAAAATACATAGATTATACCTATGCGTAATAATTTCCATTCACTGAATTAGTTTAAATTAATGGGATTTTGACTGCTAAATCAACTCTGTACAGAGGTCTGAATAGCATCCTAAATTCTGCAGTTATGGTAACATCCCTTTTAAATGTCAATTACAATTTACGAATCAAGAAACCCAAGCTTGTCTCTTATACACATCTAGATGTGTATAAGAGACAGCCACCCACCCACGCCCTCCAAACGGTCATTTGATTGTGGAGAAGACTTAGTTGGATTTCCAGACATCATCAACGAGGATACTGGACCGAAAGCTTTTGTAAGTTCAAACGTTAAAAAGGAATTTGTGACAGTTTTCCTATTCCGTCTACGGACAACAGATGATAACGATGATGAAAGGATTTTGAATTCCTGCACGTGATGTCATCAGTCTTCTATGAATGGGCCCAATAATAATAAGTCAACATATTATTTATTGGACTATAATATGTGCTGGTATCCAAAAGTTGATTAAATTGATTCGCAGTCTTTTGAACTCAAACTAACCGACCATGTGTGGATTGTTTTTTTATTATTATAACGTCTTTATGATCTTGTACAAAAATTTCATTTCATGGCTTCATCTATAATAGGTGTATATTACACTGGAATGATTTGGTTAGATGCACGTATGGCATTTTAGTCACAGTCCTCTATCTTGCATACCGGTTACGTTATTTAAAAAAAAAAAAAAAAAAACAGTATCGAGTAAAGTAGTAATAATGAAATCACTTCCGGTGTCTAACGAATGAGAATTTTAAGAACATCAAATCCGTAGGCCTAACACAATTAATTTTAAATATTTATCTGCTAGAATATTCGGATGATAGCGTTATTTTATTGCAAAAGTAAACTTCTAATTTTCTTTAACACTGTCGTTAAATAATATCCAATGGGTGGGCCTATAGTCTATTATTGATCCCCGTCCAAATATTAATGTTATCAGTCCACTGTCGTTTCGGAGTATAAACGCGAGAGTGCCTTAGTTATAAAGAAAATTCACTGATCTCTTTGTATGACCTAAAAGTGTTCGTTTACGGTTCATTAACACAGTGGAACCCATAGTAAGGAAAACATTCGTGATCAGCAAAAGTATCAGGCGCACGTGTTCCCCCCACCCCCCGTTTTACCATTAAATTAAATTTTTTTTTAAATGCAAATCAAAGTTATGTGCTACTCACCTAACTATTCTGAGTGTTTTGGTTGCAATTCTAAATTAGGATCATGAATTTTTTTTCAGTCTGAGTCGCTAATTGTTGCTAATTAGTGTCGCATAGGCCTATTTAATGACCTGTTATTCTTCGTAGCCTAACTTATAAGAAGAATTACCAAGATAAGACTATAACCTGGCCTAATAATAACAATAATAATAATAATAAAAATCTTTCCTTTGTCTTTGTATGATGTCGGTGACTGACGAAATGTCATCTCCCCAGGCATTCCAGTATCTAAATATTTAAAAATAGTTTAAGGGCAGTACAGACCAACCGGGGAGCGGAGATTTGAGGCGCAGGCGTGTACGTGCATTAGCACAATGCAGAAAGTGTATTTCATATAGTCTTATAGCCTACTATTATGTGTCAATGTGCCTTATTTAATGTACTCTTATTTGATGTACAGTAACAATCTGAAGATAAGTACAGTATCTGCAAATGTCGTCCGTGTGCATAGACCGAATTATAATAATATTCGAAATATTATATTCGAGTATAGTTATAATCATTTATATTAATAATAAGATTATGATGGAAGTATAATAACGATATTAAATAGTAATTTATTGTAACATTGTTTCTTACAATAACAAGAGTTGTTTGACCAATTAATATTAGAAGTAAAGAGGTAACAGAAGTAAAATGTAATATTACTGTAAGCTGTAGAGGGCCTACTTAAGAAACAATTCAGTACAACATCACACCATGGACCTATATCTCACTAAAAGCAAAGTATGAGGCAAACTGCGGCAAATCAAGTGTGCTTGATGACAACATTTAGCAGAAATTAACTAGCTACAAACATTACTTAACTATAATTTAATTTTAATAGCAAATCGAAATCTATGGATTAATTTGTGTAGTAAAACATCATTAACTAATTTGTCATAACATGTAGGCCTGCATGCAGGACTGTACAATTCTACAGCATTTGCATACAAGCTTGAATACGCTCCGGTTTGAATAAACGCCCCCCTCTAGAACCTCATTTAAGCATGTTTTTCACTTGCGATTTTATTCGTGCGACTCGAAAGCGTCGGTTTATGCCATGCGTATTCATATTTCTGCTGTCGGAGTTTTCGCTTAAGCGAATCGGTAGTTCGAGCGGTTTCTATTTTTTGTGAAGCGATTGGTTGAGCATTTTTTCGCTTCACAAAAACCCCAATAGAAATGTGAATGCGCATGCGTATAAACCGACGCTTTCGATTTGCGGGAATAAATTCGCCTAGTGGAAAACCGACTTTAAGGTGGTTTTCCACTAGGCGAATTTATTCGCGCGAATCAAAGCGTCGGTTCGCTTCCTGAGCTCTGATTAGTTGCGCATTTTTTCGCTTCGCAAAAAAACTCCGATAAGAATGTGAAAGCGCATACGTATAAACCTACTCTTTCGATTCGCACGAATAAATTCGCCTAGTGGAAAAGCGTCTGTTCATGTGGGCTTTCAGCGAATTTGGTAGTTCGACAGTTTCTACTTTTTGCGAAGCGAAAAAAGAGCGCAACAAATCAGAGCTCAGGAACAGAACCGACACCTTTGATTCGACCGAATAAACTCGCCTAGAGGAAACAGGCTTTAGAATAAACGTCTCCCCTCGAACAAACGCGTTTATTTTTTCCTTGAATAAGTATCACCTGAATGTCGAGTGTAAACAAATCTAACGTCATTCTCAATACATTCTATTAATGCTCTACTCAGGTAGAATTGCATCTTTTCTAACATGGTTGGGATCAATAAGTCTTTATGATCACGCAATAACACATTGTGACGGCAATTCTGTTGTAGTTCCACATTTATACCTGTCTCTTATACACATCTAGATGTGTATAAGAGACAGNGGACACCCCTATAGTTAGATGTGTATAAGAGACAGTATATATATATATATAATATATAATATAATATAATATAGCGTAACAGCAATGAATAATGAAACTCAAATACGTAAGATGTTGACTTTAGAAACGCAAAAATTTCCCAACAGAGACATGGTTACTCTGTTAACCTATATAGGCATATACCTAATTAAACCTAAAAGCAGGAATAAATGTGCGCTCTGCATGTAGTTTAGAATCATAATCAAGTGAATGAACTTAAATGCACATAATCTTCAGTTCCAATGCAAAAATGCAATTTCAAAAAATTACAAAATGTGAAAAATAGGAAGCTCAAAGGATCGGATTAATTTATAACTTGATATGGCAGTTGCTGGTGTGACGACCGACTGCCATCTTTTTTCTCTCTTTTTTTAAGGGCATGAACGAAAATTTGTTTTACAATGCCAGAGAAAAATATAATAGGGCCTAAAACAATACATTTTAAAAGATTCATAACGTAAATAAAGTTTGAAAATTGCAGTGGTGTCGAAGCATTAATGAACGTTAGGCCTATACGGGGCCTAACAGTACTCAATAGAGAAAGAATTGATATTGTGACTGAAGTGTGTTCCATCAGTTTAATAAAAGAAATGATTTGACTTCTGCAACACTACAATGGTATGAAATTTGGTATTTACTGATATGGCGGCAACCTGAGAAGTTTTCAATTCTAATAATAATCACGGTGTTTTATATTTTTTCGTTACAGAAAAAAAACAAGAGATTTTTTTTTAAATAAAAAAAAATAATTCCCCTCCGCCACACTATAATTAATGTGCTAATCTCCTAAGCCTCGTGGCGCTTACAAACTTATTTTAAATTGAAATGCCATTTCCAACTCCAAATTCAACGGCTCGCTATAACTCTAATTACCCTATAGGGCCTACATGATAGCGTAATTTATACTATAAATACTGATGAAAAGGTGTAGGTAGCTGTTCGAGAGAATATCAAATGAGGTAGTTTTGTCACCTGAAGAATTTCACTGTGTGAGGGTAAACTTATGATTACAATGAAGTGTGTTAGAGAGGA